GTAAGGTCCACCAAATCTCCTTCTCCCCTTCTTCTCTGTGCTGTATTCTTTTTCACCATCAGTATAATCACCTAGACCAGAACTCTGGGAACATTTCTAAACTCCTTTTGTTTTTCTCCTCCATCTAAATGGTCTTGTGCCCTAAATATTTTAAAAGTCATTCTCTTCCTCTATTTCTAGTGACATTGTCCTAATTTTGAGTTTTATCATCTCTCCTTTATAATATCAAAAAAATTAATCTATTGGTCTTCCTGACCCTAATCTCTCCCCATTCAATTCTTCACAAAGCCACCAGAGTCGCCTTCTAAAATACCCAGTCAGGATTTGGATCAGGGAAACAGAAACCACATGGAGTATTTTAAGGAGGGATGGATTTAATACTGCTAAATGGTGCTTAGAAAACAGTGGGAAAGTTGTAGGACTGTAGGTCAGAGAAGGTTGTTAATGGCTCTAAAGTTTGGCAGGTCTACAATGTGATAGTAAGCCTTCCAGGGACAAGACAGTGGCTATTGTTGCCCTGGTTAAGGACTTCGTAAAAACACTGCTGAAGTTCATAGTTGTCTGTAGCACCAGTGTGGTGCTTCACCCACAGTAGAGTGCTGAGAACAACCTAATGCCTGCTGAGGCCCACATATTTGCCTGCCACTATTGCTGCAGTGGCCTTTAATTTCCTTTCTTTACCTTCTGAATCTGGCAGGACTAAATTCATGGACTTTAAACTAGAATGCTACTGACAAGAGATCTGGGAAATGTATTCCTAGGTTTTCAACTGCTATGATATAGAAGAGCACAGTGGAGTGGGAATGGCTCTGAGGACCACAGGTGATCTGATACATTCTTTCCATCACTAGTGGGATAAAATCCAAACTGCTCAACCCATGACAAACCACGTGCTTCCTGAGCCGGGGACTTTCTACTTCTCCAATCCCCCCTCTCTGCTTCCCTTTCTTCCATTGTGTCATCTTTACTGTTTCTAGCCTCAGTACCTTGGCACAGACTGTTTCCCAGGTCTGGAAGTCCTCTTACATTCCCACAATGGCCATTTGGGCAAACTTCTATTTATTCTTAAGATCCCAATGCAGAGGTTTCCTATTTTGTAAAGTTTCTTTATCTCCGGTATGATTGACTCTCTCTTGGACCAGCACTGGCCTTGTACCCACTTTCTTATTTAGTAGCTCTAGTACTTATATATGTGTCTGCCTCCTCTACTGTGCTTTGAGCTCCTTAATTGTTTCTTCTTTCCCTTTATCCCCCTAGTGCCCTGCCTAGTGTTTGGCTTATCAAAGGTGCTCAGTTCACATGGAATAACTAAGGAGATGAAAGCTTCTACAATGCACTGTGCCTTGAGGCCACGGTACCAGTGAAATTGCTTACAAAAGGTATGAGGAGCCAGACATCTTATAATAGAGATACTATTCGCTTAATTCTACACTATGGAGAACAGTGTAGGTTCCAGCTATACTTCGATTCAGCCTGTATTCCTTGTCATATCAAGGGATTATTCAGCAGCTGTCTGTATTTCTACATCCCAAATATCTTTTCAAATGGATTCTGATTTTGGAAGTGGCGTTGGACCTTGGCTGGACATAATTCAGCTTTAAAATATACAGACTCATCCAGAATGCCTGCTTGCTTTGTTAGACTGTGAGATTTTGAAGAAGAAAATGGTAATGGGGTGGGAAAAGGAAAGCTGGCCATCTTTCTGAACAGAGAATGAGGAGGAGTAAATTGGTTTCCTAGGAGATAAGGCTCTTTTTTTTTTTTACTTAAAGTTTTTCCACAGAAAGATTTCTGTACTAGTGTCTTCTTCTTAGTCATAAGTAGTCAGAGAAGCAGCTCCGAATTACTTTCAATCAGCAGCTGCCCAAGGTGAGCCTACTATTCTGGTCTTTGGTCCTTACTTTCTGTGCTGGAGCCTAGTAAGGGTAACTAGTAATACTAGTTGCAATGGTCATTTTTGTTATTTAATCACCTATCATTAGAAAAGGAACCTTTAACAGTAGGCTGGGAGATCATAAGCTCATGCCCCCTCTGTGTAATCTCTGAAACAGTTGCTCCGCACGCTGCCTTCTGAGCCATTTCTTCCCAGCAGGTTTTCTCAGATTCTCTGAAAGGAATGGAACACAGTAATCTCTCAGCTCAAGGACTTTGATTTGAGGAGCACCTCCCAATGGATCTCTTAGCTTCTGAGGAATCAAACGTAGCACTTTATCAAAAAACGATTGTGACTCCACGGCCCTGTGTGCACGTGATCCGGCAGAGCCAAATTCCTTTGCTCCTTTGCACACAGCTTTTATTTGTTATGGTCAGGTGGAGATAACTGAGACAGGCTTAGGTAAGACCATGCAGAAGCTGGACCTTGCCCAGTCCCTATTTCAGCATTTTCCTTACATCCAGTGATGACCACTCTTCCCGAAGGTCAAGCCAAGTCCATGCTGACGGCGCTGAAGGATTGCACTGCTGTAAACACATTTCCAAGTGTCTGTCCTGCTTACATCTCTCTCTCTCTGAGGGCTGTTACCCTCCTTCTCCCTCAGGTGGGCCCCCACTATTCACACTTGTTCCCAAAATACCTGAGCTTCTGGTATCCATTGAATTAACCAAGATCGATTTCTAATTCAAGCTGGGCTAGATAATTCTCCCTCCCAGTGAGTTTAAGATGAGACCAAGACATGCTCATTTCTGTCTAGCTGGCTCTGTGAATGGAGAAGATGTCAAGAGCTGTAATGTAGTCATGTAGAGGGCTGGGAGGGAGTCGAACAGAGATGGGTGAGGGTGAGAGAGAGAGAGAGAGAGAAACTGAGGAGAGGGTGGACTGCTTAGTGCGGCCTTGTACAAATCCCTCTATGGATGTGTTTTGTTATTGCTCCTTTTCTATTGCAGTCATGCTGAGAACTGTGGAGACAGACAGGGTCCTTGAAGAGAAAAGGCTGTGGCTAGTACAACCTTGCTGAACTCCTCCATCTTTTTTGGGGGGGGAGGGGCTTGGAGTAACCCAAAATTTGACAGCTTCCACCTTAGAAAAAGCATATCTTGAGCAGAATATGTCTGTACCCCTTGCACAGAAAATTCAGCAAGAAAGCTGCACCATTTAGTTATCCTCCAAGCTCTGACCTCCTTACCCTGGAAAGCATGGAATCTGCCTCTTGGGTCTGCTCATGTTCCACTAAGGTATCTTTAACCCCACACTTGCCAGGGAAATTAATATTTTCTGAAAATGTGGCAGGATATCTGCAGTTTTCCCAGTCAAGAGAAGCCATGAACTTTTTTATTCCTGGGCTTTCCAGCTCCCTGCCTCATCCTATCTTTTATTTATTTTCAGGCACTTATTGCCCATGCTTTCTCTAGTTTTCCAACAGACCGAGACTGCAGTGATGTTACTTATTGTTTGTTTTTCAATGTGAACGGCTGTGTCAGAGCTACAGCCTCTGGAAGCCTATTACCAGGGACGGCTCAGAACAATGTATGTGCCCAGAGGCCACTTAGTACATGTGCCCGAGTCTTCTGTCAGGTGTGGCTTCAGGACCAGGATTCTTCAAGAGTGCAGGTCCTCATCTCACTGCTGCACTGTCTTCTTTTACCCTGTACTGGTCCTTGCTGCCCCCAAACTGCCATCTGTCCATTACTCAGAGCCCATGTTCAGCACTTCCTCTGGATACTTCAAATGGCTACCTTTGCCTAGCATCCAACCTCCTTCCAGCCCTTCTTTCTTCTTTTCTCCCCTCCCTTTTCTTTGATGCAAGGTGAGCAGGCAAACTGTCTATTCACAATTTGCCTCAAAGTTTCTGTCACTGGCCCCCCCAGATAGAAATTTCAAGAAAGGAAGAGTGAAAATTGTCTGCCCAGTGACATCTCTAGAGTGGAAGAGAGAACTTGACAATATGTCCAGGAGCACCAAACAGCTCGCCCGTGGCTTTTATCAGGTAGGAAATGAATACTGAGACAGGCAACATGGAGCAGGAGCCTAGGAGCGGATTATCATTTCTTTAAAACATAATTTTTCTTTATTGATTTTAGAGAGAGAGGAAGGGAGTGGGGGAGAGAGATAGAAACATTGATGAGAGAGAACATTGATTGGCCACCCCCTGCATGACCCCCACTGGGGATAGAGCCCACAACCTGGGCATGTGCCCTGACTGGGAATTGAACCAGTGGCCTTGTGGTGCATGGGTCAACGCTCAACCAGTGAGCTACACTGGCTGAGCAGGATTCTCATTTTTAATGATGCTGTGGATGTGCTGTGTATGAATATTTACAAATAATTTAGAAAAGCTAGGAATATGGGTGTAATTTATTAATACCAGAGAACAAACATTATAAATATTATGCTAATTTTATAATGTATGAGAATGACTTACCCTTTATAACTAATTACTACATGTACCATAGCTATTATGCACATCATTAGTAGATGTCAGATTAATTTTATTGTAAGTTTTATTTGATCACCATGTAAAAATCCCTTAGATGTGTGCTCAGTTTTCTCTTCTAGACTTGGCTTCTGCTCACAACTCTCAGTAATTAGGAAAAGCATGATTAGAGACTGAATTAGGACAGGGAACTCAACCTGCTCTTAATGAGACATATGAATGTAGCAACTATTATTTGTTGATTTAAAAATGTTTTTAGATTTGAAATTGCTCCTATAATGTATTTTCCCGAATTTCACTGAAAAGGTCACTCTTGACCTCTGTTTCATTCCTCAGTAGTCCTAGGGGACTGTTTAAATTAAATTAATTACGTTAATTCCTCAGGTATACTAGTCACATTTCAAGCCACATGTGGCTAGTGGCTACATACTAAACAGTGCACTTGTGGGACGATTCCATCACTGCAGGGAGTTTTGCTGGGCAGTGCTGCCAGAACCTTGTGGTGGTGAGAGTTAGGTTTATCCATCATGACCAAGTCAGCTTGCTCTGAATTTTCTGCATAGAGGTGGGGACCAGGGAACTTCAGGGCCTGAGCTTTGAGGGAGATGACTAAGGGGAGTAGATTCTGCCATGAGGAAGCTGCAACAGCACATCAGGGAGCTCAGGCAGGAAGTGGGGAGGAGCCCTCACAGGCATGTGGACCCTGTCACTGCTCACAAGAGCGAGTTGCGATTCTTTACTGTTGCCATGTTCAGTGGGATACAGGTAAGTCACATCCAAACCAACTCAAGTTATTAGTCTTACAGTATATGGAGTATTATTTAGTAAAAATTTACAGAGTAAATTAATGATATGACAGCTGATTTTTAAAATTATGTTAACAACTTTCATACATACAGAGCTTTACAGTTTATATACCTCTTTTTTTAAACTTATCTTTATTGTTGAATGTATTACAGATGTTCCTCCTTTTTCCCCTATTAACCCCCCCCTCCCTTCTCCCACACCACTCCTGCTGTTCCCCACACCATTGTCTGTGTCCATTGGTTATGCATATATGCATATACGTTCTTTGATTTATTTCTTCCCACCTCCCACCCCCTACCCCCTCACCCTCCTTCCCTTAGAGGTTTGTCAATCTAACAACCAATTTGTACTTCTTAATCCCTTCACCTTTTTCACCCATTATCCCATCCCACCTCCCATATGGCAACCACCAAAATGTTCTCTGTATCTGTGAGAATGTTTCTGTTCTGCTTGTTCATTTTGTTTGTGGATTCAGTTGTCAATAGATATGTATTTATTGCCATTTTATTATTCATGTTTTTGTTTTTGTTGTTGTTCTTCAAGAAGACCCTTCAACATTTCATATAATAATGGTTTGGTGGTGATGAATTCCTTTAGCTTTTTCTTGTCCATCGATTCTAAATGATAGCTTTGCAGGATAGAGTAATCTTGGTTGTAGGTTCTTGCTTTTCATCACTCTGAATATTTCTTGCCACTCCCTTCTGGCCTGCTAAGTTTCTTTTTGGGAAATCAGCTGACAGTCTTATGGGAACTCCCTTAAAGGTAACCAACTGCTTTTCTCTTGCTGTTTTTAAGATTCTCTCTGTCTTGAACCTTTTGCATTTTGATGATGATGTGTCTTGGTGTGCGCCTCTTGGGGTTCATCTTGTTTGGGACTCTCTGTGCTTCCTGGACTTGTATGTCTCTTTTCTTCAGCAAGTTAGGGAAGTTTTCTGCCATTATTATTTTAAATAGGTTTTCAATGTCTTGATCTCTGTCTTCTCCTTCGGGCACCCCCAAGATGCAAATGTTAGTATGCTTGAAGTTGTCCCAGAGGCTCCTTACACTATCCTCATTATTTTGGATTCCTTTTTCTTTTTGCTGTTCTGATTGGGTGTTTTTTGCTTCCTTATATTCCAAGTTGATGGTTTGCTTCTTGGCTTTACCTACTCTACTATTGAATCTGTATAAATTATTCTTTATTTCAGTTAGTGCCTCCTTCATTTCTGACTGGTCCTTTTTTATGCTCTTTAGGCCCTCACTAAGTTCATTGAAGTTCTCACTAAGTTCATTGAGCATCCTTATAAACAGTGTTTTGAACTCAGCATCTGTTAGATTGCTTATCTTTGTTTCATTTAGTTCTTTTCCTGGAGTTTTGTTCTGTTCTTTCATTTGGGACATATTTCTTTGTCTCCTCATTTGGCTGCCTCCCTGTGTTTGTTTCTATGTATTAGGTAGAGTTGCTTCTCCTGGGCTTCCTAAGGTGACCTATTATAGTAGGTGTCCTGTAGGGTCCAGTGGCACAGCCTCCCTGGCATCCCAGCTGGGCCTTCGAGGTGCACTCCCCATGTGGACTTTACACCCTTCTGTTGTAATTGAGTCTTGATTGCTGTTGGCACATCAATGAGAGGGTTTTACTCACGCTGATCAGCTGCAAGACTGGCTGTACCCACTGACCACTGGCTTCTGACTACCTTGGATGATCAGCTGTGTAGGGGCCCACCACACAGAGCAAGGTTTACTTCAGTAGGGTTCTTGTACCCACTGAGTTCACTCATTGAGTGTGTCACTTGTGGAGGTGGTTGGGTGTAGGTGCTTTGACATGGTCTGAAGCTGTCCACTGGGTGTGTTGGGTCTCAGGCCAGGTTAGCCACTGCCTGTGATCTGCAAATGGCTGTTGCTTGTGCTGGGCTTGGAGGTGCCTAAGCAAAGCCAAGTTGTGAACCAAAGCTGGCTGCTTCTAGTGCCAGGCCTGGGGCCACTTAATGAGACGTATGGGGCTCGCTGAGACCAAATGCTGCTTGTTTGAGACAATTTAGGAAAATCTGAAGCAGGATCCAAACAGGCCATTTCTATGGTAAAACCACTGGGAACAGCTTGGGTGGACCTGAAAGTGGGTGGGGCAGGGCCTCAGGGAATTACCAGGGCGAGGCAAATAGTGTGAGCCAGGTTGCTGGATTCCCAGATATGGTGGCTGTCTGCTGCCCCAGGGAAGGGCTCATCAAAGGAACGAAGGCCTCTGACAGCATAAGTCAGTTCTTCCCCGTTTGTCTCTGGTGCCTTTTGAGTTGCCTCCCCCACACTGGAGCTCAGAAGGAGCAAGTCCCAGTAAGTCCGTGGGTGGGCCCTTTAACAGGAGCTACCTGGGGCTTCAGCAGCCTCAGCCTCCCTCAGCCTCAGTTCCCGCCGGTTTTTCCAGCTAGAAGTTATGGGGACTTCTCTTCCTGGCACTGGAACCACAACCTGGTGTGGAATGGAGACAGCTTGCTCCTCAGGGAGGACCTTCCCAGCTGATGTGTCCCTCCTGATTTTCATCTGCCACACATGGGTGTGGGACCAGGCTGTCCGTGCCTCCATCACCTCCTACCAGTCTCAATGTGGCAGCTGCTTTAATTTCGTAGTTGTAGTCAGCTCAATTTCAGGCAGTTTTGAGTGATGGTTGTTCTGTAGTTTAGTTGTAACTTTGATGTGGTTGTGGGAGGATGTGATACCATGTTTACCTACGCTGCCATCTTGACCGGAAGTCCCTATATACCTCTTTAATGCATTCTTTTATTAGATCCTCACAATTATGTCCATGAGTAAGAAACCTATCATCCTTCCCTTGCTGGTTGAAAAAGTCAGGGCTTAGAGAGTTTAAGATATTTTCTCAGGGTCACCCAGCTAGAAAGTAACAGAGTTGTGACTCAAATTAGGATTTGAAATGACATGTTCTAACGCAATGCATGACCTTTTAGGTGTCTTTCCAGTAAGAGTATTTCTAGCAGCCAACTGATGATATGGTAGGATCCAGGGATGCCTCTGGCACTTAGAGTTTCTCAGGGACCAGTTGATTCAACTTTGATAGGTGTTTTACGTTGTTGGTGTGATGCATGGTTTATATTTCTCACGTTTTTCTGAATTGATGCGTCCAGACTTTCACAGGCCAACTGCCTGGCATCCTGCAGCAGTGGCTTTCCCACCAATCCCAGAGCAGCACGGAGGGGCCACAGGGGCTACCGATGGGGGCGGGCACCGTGGGAGGCCTTGTGTTTGGGCTCTGGGCTGTTCAGGGCTGATGTGCTTTCAACTATTTTTATATATGACATTCTACACAAAAAAATTTCACTTGAAAAAATGTTCTTTTGCTAACCATTAGAAAAATAAAAAATCACTGTTCTAAAAAATTTTTGTGGCAGCCTGCTTCCTGTGAGAAAAAAGTAGGACAAGCTGGACTCTACCCAGGTATCACTCAGGATTCACATTCACTGTGGAACAATACTTTCTGGGGAGACCCAGAAGATCAGGGTCTCCCTTGCCCTGTGGAGGGCCCTGTGCTGGGACCAGAGCTGCCCCGTAGCCCTATTCTGACATGTGGCTCTCATTCTCTTCTCAGGCAGGATTCCTCTGTGCTGCCTGAGCCCACAGAATCTGCCGAGTCCTCCCTCTATGACTGGACACTGGGTCCCAAGGGCTTGTTGGCCCCAGCCAGAAACAGCCTCCAGATTGCTTCAACTCTGAGGCCACCAAATTCTGGCCTCGTCTAGCCTGCCAGAGTGTTTTGCTCTCCTTGCTGGCAAAGCAAGAGACTGTGAAGAAGATCAGACAGTTTCTTGATGTCAACTCTTGGATTTCTTGTTCCTCCTTTGATGTAAACACACTAAAATTGATTGAGTAAGCCTGGAGTTTTACGTTATAAGGCTGCCCATACCTAACATTTATTGTGTAATTAATCTTAATGCTCTTAAATTTTCAGTGATAGACTTGAATTCACATGACACTGTTGCCAGGACAAAAAGGGAAAATGAGGGGTGTCACATGGGAACTGGAAAATAAGGTTAACTTATGACAATAAAACAAAAAAATCCACACACAGTGGATGAGCTCAGCCATCTTTAAGGTGAACACACCTTGGAATACTCAAGAAAATGGTGCCTAGAGGACAATACTGTGGTACAGTCTTAGGAAGATGAAGAAGCACAATTTTTGAAAGTATAACCCAAACCATTCCAGGAAATAGGAACAACTGATTCTATTCTACAGTAATAACAAGGTCAGGCCACTCACTTGACCAGTTGTCTGCTGCCCTGTTTGGGCATTAGTATTTTGTATGCTGTAATTATATGGTGTTGAGAGGGGGGAAACCCCACAGAAGGAGTTCAAGTCTCCAAAACTGTTCAAAGAATCTAGGATCTAGATAATAAATCTAGGGCATAGGAATATTTTGGAGAGGCAAAATTTCGGGTGGGGTAGTAAAAGCTTATCTGGCTCTCCTAGAGCCTAGGTGAATGTGTTTGACTTTTTGGATACAAGGTATAGAGGGCACTGTCATGGTTCATCTCAACCAATGGGATTTCTTGTTAGAGATGTGGGAAACGTGGTAGGTGGTCTATACTCAGGACATCTCACAGCTGGAGGCTTCCCAGTCCACTGGTCTTCCAGGTGCATTTAGTGCTTCTGGCTCTGCTTTTTACCTGCACTTGTTCTTCACTGCCAGACTAACTTGTCTCCACTTTTCTGTATTATTGCTTCTATGAAAACATTGTTATATCTTCAGGCTTTTACTCTCTCTCTCTCTATATATATATATAGAGAGAGAGATGGCAACTAATCTTTGTGTGTTATATTCAAAATCTCAAAGATTAGTTGCCATCTAATATAGGGCCAAATCCTAGACCTTTAGATGGTGGCTCCCTCTATAGGATCAAGTGAAACAAAGGATAAAAATCTACCTATAGTGGAAATTTTAAAAGGCAAGGCGTTGGAGACTTCTCTGGAGG